AATATAATAATATAATTTCAATAAAAAAATATCATATAAAATCAACCTTCTCTTAAAACATATAAATATTTATTCAAAAATGCTAATAAAAATACTTATTTAATACGTACAAAATAATTGTCTAAAACAATAATTATTTAAAACGTACAAAATAATATTCCTCTATAATTATTAAAATAATTATGACCAAATATCATATAATAATAATAATAATAATAATAATAATAATAATAACCTTTTTGAAAACTAGGGTGTTACATGCTCTGTAAGTTAAGGTTCTTGTAGATTGATGAGCACCCTTTAATTATATAAATTAATGTGTAATTGAGAGATTTTACTTATGGATGTACCTTAGTATTTTTTGTAATATCTTTCTGTGTGATTAACCAAATCATTTTTTGTTTGTTGGGTTAGAAAGTAAACATTTGGGACTATAATTTAGATTCTAGAATCGTATAAAAATGTTAAGGATTGATTGAGTTTTCCGAGTTATAAATTTAGTCTCCATTCTAGTGCGTGAAATATTAAGTTTTGTGTTGTTAGCCATGCGAGGTGACCTTAACAACATTTTTAGGCTTCGTGATCTTTAAACAAGTTGTAGCTTAAGGTGTTAGATTTCTAATGGCTTTGAAATTACTCAAAAAGGATGTGTATAACTCAAGTTATGGTCAAAATAGTGAGTAGAGGTCAAGTTGTTAGGATTTACGGTGCTCGACGCGGATATTCTATTTTAGTTTGCGTTTTTTACATTTTGGGACCCCCTTGTTGGCATATTTGTGATAATTTATGATTTCTTAGTGATGCTTTATAATACTTATGATATGATTGAATGCGTTTGATTTGATATTGTGAAATATGGTATTATATAGATGGATTTTGATGATGGTTGTGAATCGTATGATGTCCAGTAATGACTATTGTATGAAGAGGTATAAATGGTGTGTGCTGGATGCAATGTAAATTAATTGTGAATTAAAGATTGATGTGCATGAGGAGGTTGTCTAAGATATGTGTATAACTTATTATAGAAATATTGGTTGTGCATGTGATGTGGAATTGAATTGTGAACTATGATGTGATGATTGGGTACAGTCGTATGTGTGACACCAGGCCATAAGGGCGTGCACGTGATACGGTGCTATTTATGTGTTGTTGTTGGCATGATTGTATGCATGATATGGTACTAGATGTGTGATGCATTGGTATTTTCGTATGTGTGATATCGGTGCCGTAGTGAAATACATTGACACGGTGATGGAGTGAGGCAAGTGAAGTGATTGAAGAACCTCCTTTTCCGTACTCCAAGGCCAAGATCTCTTCCTTGAGATTTGAATTCTGGACATGAGACTCCAACTATGACACTTGAAGAAGCACGCACCTAAACTAGAGAAGGAAGCACCTAAGCAAGAATAGCAAAGGATTGCTTGCGATTTAGCCTAGAAGCACTCAGATTCTCTAAACTTAAACAAGGTATTTGGTGACTTTTGGGAGAGAATTGGCTGAAGCAAAATGTTCAGATTTCTCATATATTCAAAAGTCATTACAAAATGAGAGAAAAAGTCAATTTACAAGCAAAGCAATCAGCCAAATTGGCACCAAGTCCAAGCTCAAGCATTAGTGCAGAATTTGAATTCAAATGGTATTTGAATTTCAAATTCTCGGCCATTTCCATGTGCTTAACCATGTGCTTGATTCCAATTTGTATTAAGGTTGCATTTAGATTGCATTTGAAGTTGATTTGGACCATTCCATGTGCAACCACCATTGGCTATCTCCATTAGTCGCGAGATCGAAAAAATCCGGGTTGCGACAATAAGTAGTGATGATTGAGTTGTAAGACGTTGAGATGCATGTTGAGCATAGTGTTGTAAACTATTTGTGTAGCTGAGTAGTTGAGTAGTGATGATATGAGTTGAAAAGTTGTGTGTTGACTAAGTTGTTGTGCTGAAAATATAATGAGTTATTGTGTTGTTGTTTTGAGTTGTTAAGTTGAACTGTGCTGCTCAGTTGTGTGTTGATTGAGTTGTGATGATGAGTTATTGATCACTAGGACTAGGGAAGATGTTTCTGAAGTTGCTCATCCCATGTGCGGATTGAGATAGTTGTGGTGCTCTAAAAGCCCAATTTGTTGAAAAAACCTCATCGGGAAGTTGTCCTTTGGAGTGGATGTTGTGTTGTTATCCTCTAGGACTTAGTTGATCCCGTGTGTGGGTAAAGTCGAGGCACACATGTATAAAGCGACCACGGTATAGGGGCTAAGTCGAGCTATACCGATTACAAACGACCAATTCGAGTAAAGTACGAAGTCAAAAACTTAGTTCCAAACCGAGTATCAGAGGGTTATAGTAATTGGAGGATAGTCAGTAGGCTAATCCCATAAGTTGCTTAGTTGAGCTAGCTAATGTCGTGATAGGCCTAAACCTAGCTATCTTATCTTGATATACTACTATACTTCCTTGTTTAAGTGGAAAAGTCTGAGAAACTGTTATCATGTTATGGATTTTTATCCAAATTTTTTGTTTACCTAGCAAGCCCAAAAAGGTTCTTTGTTGTGTGTTCGGTACAACCTAACCACTTAGACTACTCACCTTGTGTTGTAGGAGATCTCTGAGTTGAAATGCATGACAGCGTATATGTGTTGATGTGTTGATACAATGTTGATATGTGTTGTATTGTTGAAGTGATATTAAGATGTATAGTATATGTGTTGTTTGTAGCTCGTGTTGGATGTGAAAATGAATTTATGTGTTGATGTGTTGCATATGTAATTATATGAGTTGTTTATTTTAGCTAGCTTACCCTTGCATGTTTCCATATGGTTTAGACTGCGATGATCATACGTTGTATGGGAGCAAGGCAATGATAGATTGGAGAGTAGTAGTGGAGCCCATAGGTGATGCCTGGAGTTGGATTTCGTTTTGTAGACTACCGGTTGTTGGTAGATACTTTTGTATAGATATTTGTATATAGTTACTGGACAAGCAACATAGTTGTACATATTCATGAGACGTAGATGTGCTTATATTATTACTATTTCAGTATATGTATATGTGTAGTTAGTTGTTTGTTGCGCAGTGTGGCGGCCATAGCGGATCGTTACACTCTAGCATCCCACACTTTAGCGCCCAACATGAATCAAGGCTGAAACGAGTTTTTCCCTCATGTTTGATGCCATTTAGCCCATGCCCGGCGTGATTCTAATGCAAGATGAGTTTTTCTCCTCATGTATGGCGCCACCAATCTTGCGCTTAACGTGAGTGAGACAGATACCTCTCCTTTAGAACTATGTTCGACACTTTAAAGGCGCACCCAACATGATATTATATTTTGCACTTGTGCAGAACCCGATTTTGCCTAATACCTGAAATCTAGCAAATTCCAGTCATATGCAACATAAATAACATCCATACAAAATATACAATATAAATTCATACAAAAAACAACATGCAACTAAAATCGATCACCAATCGATCATGAACCTCCATGAACATATAACCCACAAAATCCCTTTTTCAACCTCATCCTTAAATCAATCAATTGAAATAGGCAACTCATTCCAATCATCACAGTCACATAAGGCATCCCTAATTTGAATCACTGCTTCCCTTATCTCTTGGAGACTAAAATCCGTAAGAGGGAACGAAGAGGAGTGACTTCGCACACCACTGACTCAAGGTTTTCCGACCTCGATACTCAGACTCTCTCACCACCTCTTATGATCAGGTGTGAAAATGATAAAGAAGGAAGAGTTTTAGTGAAAATGAAAGGGAAGAGAGAAAGGAAGGAAGAAAGAAAAAGAAGAAGAGTAATCTTCTATCTAGCTTCTCTCTAAGGTCTATAGCTTTCTTTGAAAATAGTCTTCCTTCTGGACTTTTTCTGAACTGGCTTCATTTATCTTTGATCCAACCCTTTATAGATCAACGTGCTTTTAGGGTCTCTTAATCCCAGAATTCTCAACAATAACTGTCAAATCAAATAATAAAGATATGAGATGACAATATTACATTTATAATTATGGGTAAAAATCAAAAAGGACAAAGTTAAAGGATAAATTAAATTAAATTTGTTAGTTTATATATTTTGAGTAGTGGAATGTTAAAAAATACTAATATTATATAATTTTAATTAATAATTGTGTAGTCTAATTAGAAAATGAGAATTAACTGGCTATATTAAGCATAAATTTCACTCTCAGAAATTATAGGCCCTGTTCATTTATTTGGGTCTCATTCACTTAAATATCTATTAAGACTAGACAAGCTGTGAACATCGTTGGTGACATTTTCAAAGCTCATAAAACAACACATTTTTCTACATTCAACACTGTTTGGTTGCAGAGTTAGGTCCTTGGTCATTTTCAGTTAGTCATAGTCAAAAATCCCAAGATCTCCAAACAACATTAAAAAAAATCACAATCCATTCGTTGTTTTTTCTTTTCAAATTTCCCATGATTATAAAATTAAACCTAAGCAAGAGAGTAGGCATAGAAACCAAACACACGTAAAAGTTTTGGTGGTTGATGATGTCGAGTTATGACATAGGGCTGTGCCTATGACTGGCCAAGAAAGCTCCATGTGATGCTCTTTGTATAGTCCAAAAGTCTTTTGATTAATCAATAAACTACGCCCCCACATACAGTTGGAAGAACTTTCCCACAGACATTATTAATACATGAATCAATCAATTATTATACAAATCTATATTATAATGTTACATTCCATAGCTTCCACTACACAAAATGTGTATTGTATTGTTACAATTTCCCTCGATATTAGTTCGATGTGTTTATTAACTTTCTTTATGACTAATTTTTGTTAAAAAAATCAAATCGATTATTTTTGGTGGATTTTTTACTTTTAATTATAATTTTTTCAATCATAAAACTCAAAAATGAGATTTTGTTTAAAGGTATTTGATCGATTTCATTCGTATGAATGACTTGATAATATATTATATTGTATTGTTACATTCTTGATAGCTTTCACACACCACACTTGACAAGCAACATCTTAAAATTTGCTACAAATAAAGGTTCTTTCCACGTTTGCATCTATCCAAAAGTGCTTTAAATAGGCATCAAAATCATCAAATTGCATATACAGTTCCTCCCTTGTTCTCACTCCTTCACCACTACCCTCTCACTCTTTGGTACCCTTGTGCGTGTTTGTTTCCTAATTGCTCTCAACCATGTTGGATTCTGTGTTGGAGTTCATCACTCAAGCTGCTTCCAGCTCAGCATTCATTTTCTGCTTCTGCAATTTGATCATAGTCATCATCCTAGTGGACTTGAAGCCTAGCCTCAGCATTCATCAAGAAAGTGAAATCCCTCTTTCAAAGGGTGCAAATCAGAAACAAGGATCAAACTCCAAGCCCCTAGTGGAGAAAGACACAACATCATTGCCACAAGAAGTAGAAGTGTCACATGATCAGGAAGCCGAAGCAGATGAAAGCATTGAAATTGAAGGGAATGATGATTGCAGCAATGAAGAAGAGGAAAAAGTGGAAGGTGGTGATAAAGTCAACAACAACTATGACGATGACGACGACAATAACGATAATGATGATGAACTGAAGAGAAGAGTGGAAGAATTTATAGAGAAAGTTAACAAAGGGTGGAAGGAAGAATTGTTGAGCACATCAAGCATGGTATAGGACTCACGTAATAAGGAAAGTTAGGCCTTAACTTTGGGTTATTAAACATGTGAGAGCTTGTGTTAAATTTTGTTGTGTTATGCCATTGAAGAAAATAACTTAGAAATAGTTGTTTATATGTGCATACATAATTTCTCTGGTTCGGACCAGAAATCAATCCCTCATGTCAACCAAAGTACTTTTGGTAAATGTTAAACCAGAAAATGAAAGTTGAGTGAGTGAGTGAGTTGCCATGGAAGAAAGAAGATAAAAATTTTCCATGAAGAACTTTATTCTTGCACATGTCACAAGGATAAGGGGAAAAAGTGATGTGCATAAAGAGCATGCTTGGAAGAAGCATATGAAGGGATTCCTTTCTTTTTTTCTTTTTTATTTCTTTTCTTGTAAAAAGAAACATTTTGTGGGAATTTCTTTATTGCTACATATTCCTTTTCTTTTTCCTGATATTGGATGCACCAGCCACGAAGGGACCTCTAATTTCTTTCTGGTAATTTGGATGAAACATAGCAAAAAGGTTGTGGCAAAATTGTTGATAGGCAAATTTCATGGCTTCGGGGTACTATAAATGTATCTTTGTGTTATAAAGTCTACCAATAATTGATTTTTTTTCTTTCGATTTTTGTCTCACCGAACACTTTATGCTAAATTAACTGAATTGATTCTTGTACTTTATTTTAAAGCACTTTCTTGTGCAGGAATCGGTTTCTGCTGTGTAAGATCCACTCATGGGAAGTTTCTTATACAGTTATTCTATCAATCCTTATATAAAATGAAAAAAAGTGTAAAGTTTATTTATATCAGAAAAAACATGGATTAGAAGTAAATATTAATTATAATTCAATCAAAATACTATTTAATAAATATTTTATAAAACATTACAATAAACTTATGAAATGACAAATTTATAAATATCCAAGCCCAATACGCCACCATTAATACAGTATTACACAACTTGTCAACTTATTATCTCATTCCACTGTTATAGTATTACACTTTTTTTAAATCACAATCATACTTCCAAGGCTTTTTAACATTTGTAACGTAGTTTTTGAAATTATTTATGTCTTTGCGACAATTTTACTTATGGGTTCAGCAATTTTTATTTTTTTATCATTACAGTTGATAATAATCCTATTTTAATAATCTCATTTTTATTTTTTTTTATTGATTCTTATGACCAATGTTATCAGCATTTTTTTTTTATAGTTTCGGATTAGGGGTGGGCATTGATCGATTTTTTTAAAAAATCGATCCAAACTGATCCGATCTGCTTTTAAATGGATTGGTTTAGTAGATTCCGATCTGATTCAGTTTACATCCGATTTTGAACCGAACATAATTAATAGATTAGTTTCGAACCAATTTCGATCCAAATTTATGGATTAATCCATTTCTAAAATGGATCGGATAAAAACCAGTTTAAAACCAGTTTTTCTTAACCAGTTTTTTGAAACTAGATTCTTAAAATAGATTTTTTAACCAGATTTTTTAAACCAATTTTTTGAACCAGATTTCGTAAAGCAATTTTTTTTAACCCAATTTTTAAATTTGTTTTTTAATCATATTTTTTACCAATATTTTTAAACCCAGATTTTAAAAATATTTTTTAGAAGTAAAAGGAATAAACTATAAGATGAAAAAATAAGAAAGAGAGATATCTTAAATTTGATTTTTTTTTAAAATTGACTAAACTCAAATTGTATAAACTTAATTTCATTAAAAAAAATTGACTAAAGTGAAGATACACATTTAATTTGTTATTTGTGTAACATAATTCTAGTTTAATTTTATGTTTAATAGTTTATTTGTAATATTTTTTATTAGAAAATAAAAAAGTTAAATAACATTTACTGAAATTAATATCATATTGTATAAATAAATATTGAAATAAAAAGCAGATTGAAATTAAAAAAAAATGATTGAAGTATGATTAACCCGTCAGCGTAACTACTGTTGAAAAAAACAAAAAACAAATATAAACAAATATAAGAGACTCAAGAGTGCAGTGCGACTGCGTAGCCGCGTAGAAGACTAGGAGCACTGGAGCAGCGCAATTGGCCGCAGCGACAGTTTGATACGGAAAAAGTAAAAATTGATTTTTTTAAGGGTTTTGATCCAAACCGTTTTAAATAAACTGGTTTGGTTAATTGGTTTTTTCTAAATCGGATCAGTTCGGATATTTTATGTTTGGATCGGTTATTTTTTGGATCAGTTCAGTTCAATTTTAAATAGTTTGGTTCAGTTTAATTTTTTTGCATACCCCTATTTAAGTGGATTGATATTTTTTTTAATTAAAAATTGAATTTTGATATCGGATTTAAGTATAGAGTTATAATTGAAAATATCATTTTACTTTAATTGAGACCAATATAGTATAAAAAAGTTATACTTATTAAAAAAAATGAAGGTAGAGGTGTCAGGAAGATAAATGAGTGTATATATGATTTTAATGACATTAGTGTATGTTAATATGTTATAGCTCTAAAATCTCTCACTTGTCACAAGAGTCTTACCTTCCTTTAACTTTTAGCTTCGTTAGATTAATTTTAAGATTTTTGAACTTCGACCACATACCAAACTCATTGAGTAGAGAGAATAACAACCATTACAAATTATACTTCATCTTTATTATAATAAGTGTTATGTAAGAACAATAAACAAATTTCAAAATAAATATCATTTTAACTTTTTAATATAATAATAATTTTTTATTTTTTTCGTTTATATTTTTAATAATTTGTTAGAAAGTTGTGTTGTACTATTTTTGGCAAAAAGATTAATAATAAAATTAATTTTGTAAGATTTTTTTTTATCTATCTACTATTTTTCTTGGTTTGTGTAAAAAACATACAAAACGGATATTTTATTATGTGATAGGAGGAATACAATTTTAATTGTCTTAAATATAACAATAGAAATAACCATCATGGCCATCATGTTCATTATTAATACCATGACCATGATTATTTTGATGAGGATTTAGCCCCTTTTTTTTATTAATTTAGTTGAATGGTATTTTTTTATATTATAATAACTTTTTTATTATTACTTTATTATTTTTATTTTTATTGTTATTTATAATTTTGTTTATTTTAACATAATATCATATAATTTGAAATATGGTAATTCTTTTATAAATTAACAATTGTCTACAACCAAGTGATTAATAAAGATTAATATTGTTTGAAATTATCCATGATACTACCATCACCATTTATTAGTTTCATTTATTATCCATTGTTAATAAAGATCAAGATTATTTTAAATTATCTATAGATTCTATTTCATGTACTTATTATTTTTACTTATTATTATAAAAATAATATTTTAAGAAGACATTTATTATATGATAGAAGTGTAACTTCAGTTGTATCAATTGAAATAACCACCACCATCATTGCTTCGATTATCAATATCATGACTATGATTGCTTTAATGAATAGATTTAGACTTCTAATTTTTTATTTATCAATTTAGTTGTACAGTATATTTTTGATATTATAATAAATTTTCATTATTATATATTTTAATTTGTTATAATTTTATTTATTTTAACATAACATCATATAATTTGAATTAATAATTACTTATAATTAAAACTAATAATTATTATAATTCTTTTTAGAAATAACAATTAACTACAACCAAGTCGTTAATAAAGATTAAGATTCTTTGAATTATCCATTGTTACCAGTGATTGGGCCTTCCCTAGATTCCATTAAAAAGTTATGTTCATTTATTGCCAGTTTAGCTATAGATAATTGCCTATAACTACTCATTGAATATAACAATTTGGTCATCTAATATAAAGAGCAATTTATCGAAGACCTCACTTTGATTTTTTTTAACCCTTTTATTTCCAACAAAAATATATCTATGGAATTTTTAAAAAATAATTATTACTAAAATACCGTAAGTCTTTTTTGTTAATTATTATTTTTAGCAATAATTATATATTGTGATATTTTGATGTGTGGTTTGGAGAGGCTCTAAGAGTTAAAGAACTCCGGAAGAATCTTTGGGTGTGGTTTCTTTGGACAAAGATCTAGTTTAACCCAAAGGGAAGTAATATATAAGGTTTTTCTTTAAATTTGAGCTTCATAAATTAGTTCTTAAGAAATTTTAAAGAGACACTAGAGAGAAGAGTTCCAAAGTTTTAATTCTTCTTCTTATTCTTTCTAGGCATCCCAAGTGCATAGAGATTGTTGTTGGTGGTTGATTCAAAGTCAGATAGTACATTGAGAATCTAGGTGGAGTAGGTGCAGAGCTTATGATTGCTTGGAGTTCGGAGTCATTTCTTCTCCATCTCTTTGCTTGGAGTTGAGGTAAGTTGATGGAAACACTTGGAGAGGATTGATATTCTTCCAAGCTTTCCATGCAAGGACCGAAATGCTCCATGAGGTTGAACTCCTTGAAGGTGACAGAATCACCTTGGAGGATTCTCCAATGGTGGAGAAGCACCTAAGAGAGGTTCGGTTACCTCTTGAAGAAGTGGAGAAGCTTGAGGAACCAAGCTTCTAGGAGAAGGAACTTTGAGAGAAAACCTAGGAGAAGGTTTCTCACGAAATTTGACTCTTGAAAATGAGAGAGAAATCTGATTTCTAATTCTCATAAATGTCCAAAAGTGAATACAAGAGAAGGTTTTACAAATATATAGGGAGAGGTAGCTTCTAGGAGAAGCTAACCTTAACCATGGTTCACTAGGAACCATGGTAAGGTGAAGCTAACCATCCATGGTTTCTAAAACTTGTAGGAGAAGCTAACTTTGACCATGGTTCACTTAAGAACCATGGTAAGGTCAGCCAAACCTACCAAGGTTTAGAAACTTGGAGGAGAAGCTTCAAAAACCAAGAGGTGTAGCTTAGAATTTCGGCCAAGGAAGAACAAATGAGCTAGGCGGCCTTGTCTCCATTTCCTCCTTTGATTTATTTCAAAAATTGTTGATTTGGTTTAGTTAGGTTCATCAAATGATGATGAGACCTAGCTAAATCAAATCTATGAAAAATTAGGAGTGAAATGAGTCCAATATGCAAAATTTTGCCTAGGCCCAACTCAGGCCCAATTTCTAAACACACTCCCTAGCTTT